GTACTCTTAAGGCTTAAGGTTTCCGAGTACGGTGTGGAAATTTGGATATGTTTTCGTGCACGAAAGAATTATATGAATTGCTACTCATTAAGTCTAGTCAGGATGCAGAAATTCGCTATTGCGTACTTATCTGATAATTCCACAGAACCAATATAGAAAAAAAAATTGAAAATTGAAAAACTGAAAATTAATATCTGATATTTGTGCGTGAAAATTGGAGACTTCATTTGGACTGGTGCTCAAGCCGCAGCTGATATGATTGATTTGCGGTCGGTGAACTGAAACACAAGCACTCGTCCAGTACCGTATTCTTTCTGAGCAGGCCATTCATCATGTGGTGCCGGACAAGAGTTTAGAGTTGAATTTCTCAGCCGTTAATGGTTCATATGTACTTCCGCTTGGGGAAGATGGCTTAGTCAAGATGCAAAGCGCTACTGCACGCGTTATTCAGAACCGTGCTAACTTAGATTACGGTATGTGTGCAAAAGGGCCACAGCACTGCAAAACGTTGGCACCGTTCTTTGATGAATAGGTTCCAAAACTTTTACTTCGCTTCTTTCAGGTATGTGGCCTACAACAACGAACCGAACTGTACACTGTTGGCCCAGAAGCACTCATTCACTTCAACACTACCAATCCAGCTAAGGCCGATCCGCGAGGGTAAATTTACAGCGCTGTTAATCAGTTTATCGATTTATCGATTGATTTTAGATTCGTGGTAGAGTATGAATTCTCGACAAGGTTTGTCGATGTGGCACAGTTATTGCATGGACAAAAAGGTGTTACACATATGCGAGGCACAGAATGTGATATTCGGGTGGAAAGCAATCGAGAAACCACACATTACATCTATTCACCAAAGGTGGGTCGTGGAGCGGGTTACGGTAGGCGTACTGTAGCTGCATTATCTCAAGTGTTTTCAAACTTTGAGATTTTTTTGGAGTAATTTGAAATACTCCAAGTCTAACTTTTAGCAAAGCAAACAAAATCATAAGTATACGGTAATTCTTTACAGTTCCCCGATCTATACCCTCCCAACACCACTTGTACCT